TGCTGGACCTGATGCAGCAGGTATGGGGTGAACGGGGTGACCCCAAAACCGCCCGGGCCTGTCTGACCCCCCCATTGTGTCACCTTCGTGTCACCTCCGTGTCACCTCTGTGTCCCCTCGCAGCTGCAGGACCTGGGCCACCCCCCRAAGGAGCTGGCGGGGGACACGGTGAGTGCCTGGAAAAGATTTGGGGTGACCCTATAGACTTGGGGTGATCCTATAGAATTGGGGTGATCCCATAGTCTTGGAGTAATCCCATGTGTTTGGGGTGATCCCATAAAATTGGGGTAATTCCTGAAGGTTTGGGGAGACTCCATGGATTTGGAGTGACCCCATGGGTTTGGGGTAATCCCTAAAGATTTGGGGTGATCCCATGGGTTTGGGGTGATCCTATAGAATTGGGGTAATCCCTAAAGATTTGGGTTGGCCCCATGGAACTGGGGTGGCCCCACAGATTTGGGGTGACTCCATGGATTTGGGGTGACCCCATGGGCTTGGAGTGGCCCCATACAATTGGGTTGACCCCATAAGATTAGGGGTGGCTTCACAGGTTTGGGATGATCCCACAGGTTTGGGGTGACCCCATAGAATAGGGGTAACCTCATGGTTTTGGGTTGGTCCCATGGGTTTGGGATGACCCCACAGATTTGGGATGACCCCACAGGTTTGGGATGACCCCATAAGATTTGGGTTGGCCCCACGGGTTTGGGGTGGCTCCACAGATTTGGGGTGACCCCACAGATATGGGGTGACCCCATGGGCTTGGGGTGGCCCCATAGAATTGGGTTGACCCCATAAGATTAGGGGTGGCCTCACAGGTTTGGGATGACCCCACGGGTTTGGGTTGACCCCACAGATTTGGGATGACCCCATAAGATTTGGGTTGGCCCCATGGATTTGGGGTGGCCCCACAGATTTGGGGTGGCCCCACAGATTTGGGGTGGCCCCATGGCTTTAGGGTGACCCCACAGATTTGGGGTGGCCCCACAGATTTGGGATGACCCCACGGGTTTGGGATGACCCCATAAGATTTGGATTGGCCCCAAGGGTTTGGGATGACCCCACAGATCTGGGGTGGCCCCACAGGTTTGGGATGACCCCATGGGTGTGGGGTGATCCCACAGATTTGGGGTGGCCCCATGGGTTTGGGATGACCCCACAGATTTGGGGTGGCCCCATGGGTTTGGGATGACCCCACAGATTTGGGGTGACCCCGCAGATTTGGGATGACCCCACAGATTTGGGGTGACCCCACGGGTTTGGGATGACCCCACAGATTTGGGGTGACCCCACAGATTTGGGGTGACCCCACAGATTTGGGGTGACCCCTCTGTGCCCCCCCAGCCCCCCGGACTGAACCTGGAGCTGCCGGGGGGCGTCAGTGGGGAGCAGTGCCGCCTGATGTAGGGCGGCTTTGGGATCGGCTTTGGGATCGGCCGGCCCTAATGACGGCGCTAACGAGGACGAGGAGGATGAAGAGGACCCCGATTTTGGGGTTTTTTTGGGGGGTGGGGGGTGCAGGGACCCCCCTGTTTGGGGCGGTGTCCCCCCCTCACTCCCCCGGTGTCCCCAATAAAGAGTTGGTGACG